ACCAGGTGCTCGCCATCGTGCCCCACCTCCAGGCCTGGCTCCAGAGGGGGGCACCGGTGACCCGCGTCCGGGCGAAGGAACATCCGATCCAAAATTTTCTTGCATCATAAGGGGTCTTCGGGCTGCGCTTTGTCTGGTTCCTCACCTAGGACCTGTCTGCCATGGGTGACCCTACCAGGGGCATAAAGCCCCAGACAGCATAGCTCCTAGGATCATTGGGACACTCAAACCCCTCCACCACGATAAGGTAGCAGCCCAAGGAGAGGACTGCTAATATCGGAGCGCTTATATCGGACATTTTTTATGCAGGCCGATATAATCCGATACTCGTTTTTTGGCTGATATCGGACCGATATCGATATCGGATCGGGACACCCCTAGTGTGGAGTGTGTGCAGGTGTGTGGAGTGTGTGCAGGTGTGTAGTTCTGAACTCTTTGGTCAGACGTCTCCATAACTGCAGGTCTCCTGTCTTCTGTTGTCCTCAGCTACCCTGTGATCCTGTCCATAGAGAACCACTGCAGCGTCCCCCAGCAGAAGAAGATGGCCCAGTACCTGGTGGAGGTCCTGGGGGACAAACTGGACGTGTCCAGCATCAGAGCGGACGAGTCGGGACAGCTGCCGTCTCCAGAGCTGCTCAGGGGGAAGATCCTGGTGAAGGTGAGGTCAGAATGTTGATGCTCCGCGGTCTGGTCTGGTTCAGATCAGAACGGTGGCAGAGCGAGTCCTCGGGCGGTCCGTGTCAGCTCGCCGTTTCATTATCTGCAGCTGGAACCTCAGAGAGACTTCAAAGGCAGCAGATATGAGTCTGATAGAAGTGATGAAAGAGTTTCAGTCTGCTGTGTGGGTGAAGAGAGAAACACTGCAGGAGGGAACAGCTCCCGTGGTTTTCAGGGCTTTTAACGCCACACTGCTCGTTTGTGAAAGAAAAACAATGTTTACCAAGATGATCTGCAGGAAAAACCCTCAGAGAGCCTGTTGAGGACGACTCTCAGCTGCCACCACACCTACGTTTGGTTCAGTGGGGTCAGTCGAGAGCTCATGAGATATTTTGCTGACAAACAGTTGATAAACAACAAGTTCTGCTGGATCAGTTTAACACTGGGTGTAAGTTGTGGATCAGTCTCGACTACTACCGCTCAAAAGTTTAGCTCAAGTCATTTTTAGCTTAGCTGTGGCGGCCATTTTGAATTATGTTGACTCAAAATAATCAGTTGTTCATCCAGTGGTTTAAATTTATTTTTTCTATAGTTGTGTTTTTGTCATTTTATTTATTTATTGTGGTTTAAATTAACGGGGTCACTAAGGGCCCCACAAGCATCGTGGTGTTCAACTTCCACTAAAACCTGACGTTCCTGAGCCCCGCTAGCAAACAGTAACTGAGCTCTACCTGGTGCTTCCTGCATAGAAACAATGTTTTAACACGTCCTCTTATAAACACTGAAAATTACTACGCGTACGACTGACTACATGTCAAATAAATAAAAAAAATACTATTAAAATAAGAGTTTTACTCAATGAGTCGAGATGAGCAGCAGCCATCATGAATTCTCCCATCTTCTAATGGAATTCCCACTGGTTCCTGTTAAAAATTTTGACTTCAAGTGGGAGCTTCCCATCTCCCAGTACACCTGCAGCAAAAGTAGCCGATAAAAATGCAGCGAAATAAAGATTTTACAGTGAATGTTACCTGTGCAGCGCCACCTAGTGGTGGGGGATGTAATTTTGCAGGTAAAATAACCAGCATGCATGATGGGAGATGTAGTTCATGGATTTAAAGCAGCTTATTTTGAGACTTTAAGACATCTTTGAAGCTCTAGCGGGCCATGCAGAATGTTGTGCCGGGCCATATTTGGCCCTCGGGCCTTGACTTTGACACAGGATTTTCAGTTTGATTACAATTTTGTCAACTGTGTCATTAGATGTAGAGGAGCAGAAAACTTTATTGCCCCTCTGACACTAAAAATTTGCTAGAAAAATGATCAAAAATAATTTTAAAATTTTGTTTCCTGAAGAAGTAAAAATAAATTTTGACTTTTATTCACGAGTGAGATGATGTCACTATATGATCTACTGAAAACGTTCTCTCACCTTAACTGTTTTTAATAGTGTTTTTCTCCGACAGGGGAAGAAACTTCCTCCGAACATCGACGAGAACGCCGAAGAGGGCGACGTGTCGGACGAGGACAGCGCCGATGAGATGGAGGACGACTGCAAGCTGATGAACGGAGACGTGAGTCTGTTTCTGTTTTATGTGAACAGGTGTTTCTCACGCTGGTCCTTTCTTCTCCTGGCTGTTTGTTCTCATCGGCTCTTCTCTCTTCCTCTTTGTCCTTTTTTGTTTTTCCTCGACACGCTCGCTTCTTATAAAGTGGAAGGTAACTGTATTTAAACCAAAAAATAAAAACATCATCTTCAGTCACGTCTGAAACCTCATCTCAGTCATTTTCCTCCACGCCTTCAGAAAATAATCACCGAAAATCATTTTTTTAAACGTTTGTCAGGAATCTTATAAAATGTCGTTTTAGTTACAGTTTTTTTTTCTGAAAAATTTGACAAAAACGACTTCTGTAATTATTAGAGGAAGGTGTTATTTTCTCATCCTCACCTGAAACTTCAGAAACTCTCCATGAAATGAGAAACAAATGTGTAAAAAAATAACTTTAATAACTTTGTTATATTTAAGCTCTTTAATCTGCAAACACCTGGTGTACTTACCTGGTGTTGTAGGCGGAGCTTCAGGCCTGTTCCCCCAGGTGATCAGACTGAGAGCCAGTGTTGTATGAAGTACCATAAAGTGGTACTTGAGTAAAAGTACAAGTATCTTACCAAAAAAGGACTTTGGTAAAAGTTAAAGTCTCCTTTAGGAATATTACTTGAGTAAAAGTGTTAAAGTATGTGATATTTGTTGTAGTTAAGTATTAAAAGTCAAAGTGTAGATTTAAAATGAGCAGTTAGATTTTCTGTAAGGACATTTATTAGGAGGTGACCTCCCCAAAAACTGCAGAAATGACTGTTGTATTAAAAGAATGAATGGATGTTAAATTTAGGATGCACTAGTCCAGCTGTTTCAGTTTATATACATATATCAAGGCTGCACAAAGCTTTTCCCCAAAATGAAAATCTATCTGAGGGCTGCGGCCAAATGTAAGAATATAATTCATGAAATACAAATACTTCTTAAGTACAGTCCTTTGATTTGAATGATTCTGTCCTGCTGGAGTGTGACATGATTTGTTTGTGTACAAACTAATACACTATCAGAGTTTTATATATTTATACTTCTCATTCAACCACAGTTAAATTCACTCTATAGGAGGCTCAGTTTATATGGATAGTTTTTATTTTTACAACAACAAGCTGCAATGAAAACAAGAAAAATTAAATAAAAGTAACAACTTTCTGCTTGTTTTTTTAAAATATAAGAAGTAAAAAGTAGGCTAAAAATAATTAAGTAAAGGACAGATGCACAGAAACTCTAAGTACAGTAACAAAGTATTTGTACTTAGTTACTGTACAACTCTGCTTGGAGCGATCCGTTCTCAGCTGGTGTCCCTCGTGGTCCACGACCATCTGAGACCTTCTGAGGTCCTGTTGATGGTTTCCTGTAACGCTCAGCAGGCCAGGTGAGGCTGGTCCAAGTCCACCGTCCCGCTGAGTCTTCAGGTCCAGTCAGTTCTTAATATCAGTCATTTTCTCCGATCGCAGACGGCGTTCGAGCTGCTGGAGGAAGTGACTCATGGACCCATGCTGCCACCTTCTGACTGAACTGAAACAAACACATTTTATCCATTTGTTTCTCTGACATCATCGTGGCTGGAAAGTTGTCAGTTTTCCACATCACATAAAAGCCATCAGTTTTTTAAAAGTGACACAAAAATGTGATGTAATAATTTATTTTGATGTTGTAACTTTAAATGGGTGGAACCAAGTTATAAACATCAAAAATGTAACTGATTTAAAACTGAAGTTTCACCATCTTCCTCCATCGTCTCACCTCAGGTCCATCTGCTTCGTCTCACGTTGTTCACTCTTTGAATCCTGTCCATCTGGTCAGAAGTTTTTATTTATTTTATGAAGTATTTCTAACTATATTTAAAACTAATGTTGGGCTTCATTTAACAGAAGTTGAGCTGCTTAAACAAAGTTTGATGCTCTTGGTGTTTTGTCGTGAGCTCTGTTTGCAGACATCTGTAGTGAGAGTAGGGAGCAGGTGGAAGAGAGCCTGGAGAGGTGGAGTTTAGGGGCGGGACTATTTAAGTAAATTACTCATAATTACTGTAAAGCAGCAGCTCAGAGGCCAGACGTTCTGCAGTTATAGTTTTATTTTAAATCCTCTCTGAAACTTCAGCTGTAGCTTTTAAGTTTTAAAGTTCAACCAGACAAACCTGGAGAGGTCGTTCCGTCTTTTAACCGCCGCTCCTTCCTGCAGACGTCGGCCAACAGGAAGCAGGTGGAGAACCTGGCCAAGAAAAAACTGGACAACCTGATGAAAGAGTCCAAGATCAGAGACCGAGAAGACCCGGACAGCTTCACCATCACTGCCCTCCCTCCGTCCGCCAAGTCCTCCGACAAGACAGACGGGAAGGTAAAAGCTTTATTCTGTAATTCATGAGTTTTAAAAAAAGAACCAAATAAAAGAGCATTAATTACTAGAAACAATCAGGAGAGTTAATATTTTATTGAATAAATGTTCAAATTAATCCATAACGACAGGTAGATTTGGTGAAATCCTCCTAAAGTGACTCTCTGGTCTTTTGAAGTGAGGTTCTGTGGAAAGGTTATGAGCAGCTAATATCTTATCTGTGTTAGATGACTCGGTTTTGACCAGATTAAACTGACAAAACGTCTCTGGTTTCTAATGCTGCTTTTAAACCAAACCTGTTTTCAGTTTGTGTCAGACGCTGCTGTTGATGCACGTCGAGAGCTTCTTCTGCTGGTTTCTGTTTAATGATGGATGAAATGAAGTGACTTTTTATCAATTTTCAATTCCTTTATTCATTTAATTAAAACAAAACAAATATATATATAATTAGAAAAATATAAAAAGAAAAAAGAAAAAAAAATACATGTATATCAATATACAGTATGTGTACTTTGCTTTATTTACTGAGAGCAAGAGAACACTGTGCTCACCACATAATTAATTCACCAGATAATTCAGAGACGTTTGAGTTTCACCACAGGAGCTACGAGCGGACGAGGCACTCTTTCTGACCCGCATCGGTGCTGATATCTCCTGCAGGACTCCGACTACAGACACTCAATTTCAGCTAAAGAGCTCGTCGAAAAAACATGTCACTACGTCACACGGTGGACTCTGATTGGTTGACGCACCGCGTCGAGCTGCAAAAGTTCAGATTATCTCCAGCTTTCGACGCTGCGTGATGCGTCGTCCACAGACTGCGTGTTGGTTCTGAACGCAGCGTAAAGTTTTACACCAAAAAACTGTTGAGTCCAGTAAATAATGAAGGAAAGAAAAAAGAAAAGGAGTTAGTAGGTTTTTTTTTTTAATCTTTGTGTTTAAAACTTTGTTTTTCTGTCAGGGTAAAAGCGATGAAGGGACGGACAGCGCCGGCGAGTCGAACCCCAGCACCAAACGTACGAGCCGGTCCTTCATTGGGAATTTCTCTAAACGCAAGGTTAGATTTTTATTTTACCTTTAGTTGGTCTAAAGGAGAGTCAAACCTTCAGAGTTTAAAGCATCAAAGCTGAGGTTGTTGATGTAATTTGAAGAGTTGAAACTTGTTTCTTTAAATCAATATTAAACTCATCATCTTAGTTTTTATGATTATTTCCATGTTTCACACTTCAGTTTTTCTTTTTGGTTTTGCAGAAAAAGTCGTCCAAGCTGAAGAAGACCTCAAGCTTCGAAGACACCGACACGGACCAGGAGAGCACGAGCAGCGCCTCCCGCGCCCCGCTGCACCACAGCAAGTACGACACACACACACACACACACACACAGGGTTCCTACTGCTACCTGAGTGAAACCTGAAGTCTTAAATAACCTTTCAGATAAAGTGGGAGTCTGGTTCTGTCCTAGCTCAGATTATTAAAAACATTTTACAGCTGCTGGTTTTCTCTGTCCGTGTATTTGTCTTCAGATGTGTTTTTGTTTCCACAGAAAGAAGAAAACCATGAAGCTGTCCAGAGCTCTGTCCGATCTGGTGAAGTACACTCGCTCTGTGGGTCTCTACGACGTCGAAACACAAGGTGAGCTAACTGCAGCTAACCTGCTGCAATCCTGCAAACTGCAGCTAACCTGCTGCAATCCTGCAAACTGCAGCTAACCTGCTGCAATCCTGCAAAC